ACCTAAAGATTGGGATATCACACGAGACACCGCTAACATCTCCAAGTCGTCTGAGAGGGTCTCTCCCCTGCAGGAGGATTGGCATATAGCGACACGCAAGAGGGGAAAGCCGACCGCCTGATCTGGCCCCACCATTTGTCGAAGCATCTTTTTTTGTCCTCAAGTGCCTCGAGGACCCTGAGTTCACTTTTAATGTTTCACCCCCAATGATATGCTCAGTACGTAGTACTGCGGCTACACTCCCTTTGGGGGTTGTCTCTTTTGTTTTCACCTACTGTTCTGATGTTTACTTGTTGATTTTTGCTTGTTTTTTGTTTTCTTTTATTGGTAGCCAAATAGCTATATGGCCAGACTACTCTCCTGGACTAATCGTTCCTGCATATCTTGATCTGCGGACTTCCAGCCATCTGAGACAAGGACTTACCCTTTCTCCACTTGATCTGTTCGCATATGCCTTCAGTGAGTACACATTGACACTCCCTACATCGTTCTATCACCTTTGCCATGGCTGTAAAAGTTGTCTCTTTTAATGTCAAGGGGTTGAACCATCCTGCTAAAAGGCATAGCCTCTGGAGAGGGGCAACCAAGTTGGGCGCTGACATTCTCTGCATCCAAGAGACCCATTTCCAACAATACAAGAATGCTGCGTTCACCCACAAGAACTACCCCAATATATTTGCTGCTCACTCCCTGACTAAGTCTAAGGGAGTGTTGGTGGCCGTGGAAGATTCTGTCCACTTTGCTGTCTTACACTAGATCTTAGATCCTGCAGGGAGATGTGTCATTCTAGTGTGCTCCATAGAACAAACTATTAATACAATTGCTAATGTATATGCTCCCAATTCCCTCCAAATTAGTTTCCTTAACAAAATCTTCAAGACTCTCTCTCGGGTCCGTCAGGGCAGTGTCATTATATGTGGTGACTTTAATTTGACCATTTGTCGAAGCATCTTTTTTTGTCCTCAAGTGCCTCGAGGACCCTGAGTTCATTTTTTATGTTTCACCACCCAATGATATGCTCAGTACAAAGTACTGCGGCTACACACCCTTCGGGGGTGTCTCTTTTGTTTTCACCTACTGTTCTATCGTTTACTTGTTGATTTTTGCTTGTTTTTTGTTTTCTTTTATTGGTAGCCAAATAGCTATATGGCCAGACTACTCTTCTGGACTTCTCGTTCCTGCATATCTTGATCTGTGGAGTTCCAGCCATCTGAGACAAGGACTTACCCTTTCTCCACTTGATCTGTTTGCATATGCGCATGACATTGACATTATTCAGCCAGACAGGTATTTAGAAAAAGGGTATGGAAAGAAAGAGAGGGAAGGTCAAGTCTCTGAGGGGGGATTCCCTTAAAGCCAAAAGGTAGCATAAGAATCATCTAATACGAAGATAAATCTTGAGAGGTATAGATAATTAAGCTATATTCGGATATTTCTTCTATGATTTACGGGCCCCCTGATGGCCGCGGGCCCTCGGTCTGTGCCCGACTGCCTGCTTATTGTACAATCCTGTTACAAATCTGCCGCTTCGGAACCCTAAAGCCATGGCGGACGCTATAGCCCTCTACTACTAATCTCTTTACAATTTAGGTAAGGACCTGAACGAAACACAGCCATTCACTCTTTCCATCACAAACTTTCTGGACTCTATTCCCCTGCCTTCACTTTCGCAGTCTGATCGAGAATCCCTGTCTGCTCCGATTACTATTGGGGAAATAACTAAAGTGATTAAATCTCTCCTTGCCCACAAATCACCTGGAGCTGACGGATTCTCGAGTGAATATTACAAGTGTTTTGCTGATGTCCTGTCCCCGTACATGTTCCCTATGTATAATGAGGCTGTATCTTCTGGTCCCTTGCCCTCGGAGATGCTTAATGCCATAATCGTAGCCCTGCCAAAACCTGGGAAAGACCCTACTCACCCACAAAACTTTAGACCCATATCCCTCCTCAACTCAGACATCAAGATATATGCGAAATTAATAGCTAATCGGCTACTGTCCCTAACACCTTCTATTATCCACCCTGACAAGTGGGCTTTGTGGGAGGGAGGCAGGCACCGGATGGTACACGCAGGATGATTGACCTAATAGGCTGTGCAGGGGCCTTTTCTCATGTGCCTTCTCTGCTCCTAGCACTGGACGCCGAGAAGGCGTTTGATAGGATTCATTGGAAATACCTAGCCATTACCCTACAGAGATTCGGACTGGAGGGTTCTATTTTGTCTGCTATACTAGCGTTTTATTCTAAACCTACCGCTCAGGTGCTCTCATGGGGGTTTATCGCAAACGTTTGGGATCACGAATGGCACACGCCAGGGTTGTCCTCTGTCACCCATTATATTTTCCCTGCTTATAGAGCTGTTGGCTATAGCTATTAGACAGAACCCTGATATTCATGGTATTGCAGTCGCCAACGTTGAACATAAGCTGGGTTTATTCGCGGATGACATTGTACTTACCTTATCCTCTCCAAACCACCTCGCTGGCTGCGGCTATGAAGGTTCTTACTTCCTTTGGAGCGGTATAATACTATAAAGTGAATGAGGGGAAGTCACAAACCCGTGCTATTAGCATACCCCAAAAGATGAAGAAAGCACACCAAACGCGGTTCCCCCTTGCTTGGGCGACTGATAGGGATGCACCGATACCACTTTTTTGGGTCTGAGTACGAGTACCGATACTTTTTTTTTTTAGTACTCGCCGATACCAATTACCGATACTTTTTCTTAAAGGGGCAGATATAACTTTTTTTATGCCATCCTGTGCCCAGCCCACACCTGTAGTGTGGCACAGTTCTATCTAATTCTGCATACCTGCCTGTATATTATACATTAAAAAATGTAATATACAGCCAGGTATGCAGAAATAAATATAACTGTTCCTCACTAAGTCCAGAGGGACCTTAATTCGCTCAAGCAATTTGAACTGTCTTGGATGGCCAGGGTGGCGGCATTTAAAATGAGTATCCTTCCAAAAATATTATATTATTTCCGCACACTCCCCATCCCTATCACCAACAACTTGTTTACCCTCCTCCAATCTGTAGTTAACTCCTACATATGGCTAGGGAAAAGGGGCAGAATTGCTAAATCTGTACTATGGAGGCATAAGCTGGTGGGGGGCTTGGACCTTCCCAACCTGAAGGACTACTATAGGACCTCAGTCCTCACGCAGCTACGGACGTGGCTGAGGAGAGACTCCTGCAAATTATGGTATGGGCTGGAGAGCTCCATGGTGCCGGTGGGAGACCTACTGGCATGGCTAGTGGCTGCAACTATGAAACCCAGCCTTCGTTTACTCGCTCACCCCACCTTACATGCCACATTTCAGGTGTGGTGCTCAGTCCTTAACAGTGCCAGCAGCTCCCAATCTTCCCGGGTAGACATACCTTTGAAAGCTTACAAATTACTAATACCATATCTCAACCTCGGTTCCTGGGCACAAAGGGGCTACCTTACTTTACCACCGCCTGGAAATATGCTTTCCTTTATGGACACCTATAGATTAGCCCAAATTAAGCATTTTCACACCTCGGAACAATTCCGTGTGATACAAAATCCCTACATAGATTTGGCATCTTTTACGTTTCTCGGCAGCACCCAAAGGCCAGATCTCCTCCTTCTACACTAAGCTACAGGATAAGAAACGATTTAAGAAATTACCTGCTATGTTCAAATGGGAGGAGAACCTGGGTGAATCCTTCTCGGAGGAGGCCTGGTCCTCTGCCTTGCACTGGGAGATCTCTCTCAAAATAATGCTACGGTGGTACTTTACCCCTTATCGTCTATCTAAGATCTACCCGACACACTCCCCCTTTGTTGGAGAGATTGCGGCTGTGTGGGCAACATCATACATGTATTCTGGACCTGTAAAAGTATCACACGCTATTGGGGTATGATTTTCCGCTACCCTGTCTCCTTTAAATGGTATCTTAGTCTCTCCTTCCCCTCAAATGGCTCTACTGAGCATGGGCGTTGATATTTATCCACATAACCTTAGGACGGTGGTTCTGCACTTCCTTTTCATGGCCCGTCAGCTTACAGCCTCCAGCTGGAAACAGCCTTATGCACCTACCTTGCAAGAAACCATAGCACGGGTACAACTGAACTGCCAACATGAAAGATTGATAGCTTTTAGGCTAAATACCCATTCACAATTCTGTTCTAAATGGAAAGACTGGATCTCATATACACGTCCCTGAATAACCCATCATCTGCCCTCTATCCATAAGGTATGTCGTTATATAGGTTACCCTCATTACTGGTACCCCTGGATCCTGGTTTTAGCTCCGTTTTGTTTATTGTGTTTTATTGTTTTCCTATACCTACCGACTATACAATATAGTCTACTTTGCATATGTTATCTTCAACTTCAATGCACAGGTAAATACTTGCTACTTGATGGAATGTTAAAGCAATCTCACCGAACATGATTACTGTTAAGTCTGATGGATAAGATGTGTTAATGTATCTGCTTGTTGATTCTCTGAGAGTAAAATGTGATGCTTTATATGCACTGAAACTAAATAAAAAACTTAAAGTTTAAAAAATAAAAAGCCTGCAATTATCTATACATATCTGATTGTAGATTGTCATTACTAAACATTTCTGAAAGTGCCTTTGTTGTAATTTTAAAGATATGGATAAAGTTTCTTTTTAAATCAGACAAGGTCCCTGGTGATCAGATTTCTGCACTTGATTATCTGGTGGATTATCTGTTTTAGGTAGCCCAACGCTAATTGGATTTGAGTGAAAAAAATCCATTCAATGCAGCATACCTGTCCTAATGGCATGACAATATTTGATGGACATCATAAAAGATAAAGGAAGAAAACCAAAGGAAAAGGAGAGGGTAGTAGATGGGCTAAGCAAAAATGGTTGGTTTAGTTTAAGTGCAACCAAACGTTAATGTAGTGATTTCACAGCTGTGGCATTGACAGTTTAATAACATTATATCTAGCTTTTAACGATCAAGCAATGTTGCCCTATCTTGTAACATGTCTTCCATCAATATTGCTCATACTTGTCATTGTCATCATCTTCTATTATCTTCAAGTCATCTTTTCTCCATTCCATACTTTTAGTTTCCATATTGGGGTCAAATAAGGGAATGCACTCAAATGTAGCCTTCCCACCCTTCCTCACTCGCTGTGTTTTTGGGGAAGTAACAATGTGGGTAGCATCTGTAAGAAAATGCACAGATAATAATTATTTTCATAAAACAGTTAAAATCGTATGATGAAACTTTACTTTGTCAAAAGTTTCGGTACTGGTAAAACATTTATTGGCTTAATTAATAAAGGAGACAAAAGAGTAACAACGTTCTGTACTAGCCCACAGCAATCAATTAGTGCAGTAGAACACTAAGGGGTTATTAAACAAAGGACCCAAAGGATTAAGCCGAACCTTCAGTTAATACTACGGCTGGCTTCGGCTGTGGGAAGCTCTCGGTTCAGGCAAACTGAAATGCTGTTTTACTATTCACCATAGCCCATACAGCAGTCGAAAGCAGTCAAAAGCACTCAGCCGAACACATATGCTTCAGCTTGGCTGAGCCGAAGACGCAGCCAAAGCGGAGACAATAATTTGCCGAATTTAATGAAAAGGAAAAAAAAAAACAAACAGCGATGGTTCCCCCTTCCAAACCATACCAGAACCCCACACAGGTTTTTTTTTCCATTCCTACCATGAGAAAGGATTTGTATAGAACCTGGGTCAAAGTCATATAAAACAATTCTTTATTCATATCATGATTTGAGGGAGAAGCAACTAAACTACGGGGAAGACTTTCTGTTCGGGGCTATAGTAAACAAACTTTTAAAAAAGCCTCTAAGAGGGCAAAACTACAAGCAAGGAAAACACTAGTCAACATCAAAAAATCAGAAGAAGAATACTGACTGGGTTCGGACGGTAAAATTAATTATCTGTTATTCCAAACAAATACGGCATGTTATGGGTAAATATTGGCACCTTCTATCAGAGGATGCCACTATTTCAAAATATGTAGGTAAGCCTCCCGAGATTGTGTATAGATGGTCAAGATCAGTCTATTAAAATATGACACATTTGGATGCACTACAGACACAGCTAGGTACGTATAGATGTCATGACTGTAACTATTTCGTCTGGATAAAGGAAGGGAAAAACGATTAGGCCCCTATCCGGACAAATTCAGTACTCCAATGGCAAAATGACCACACCCATTAGTTGCCACATTGGTCTACACCATAACTTTGATCCCATGGCATTATCGTTCTTTGGATTGGAACATATTGACAAAGATCTACTAGGGGGGACTTAGACAAAAGGGTCTTACAAAAAGAAAATGAGTGGACTTATAAGTTGCAAGCAACTAAACCTCCAGGACTAAACAAAGCTTTGGGCTTTGATTAGATTGTTTATTGAGCGGAAAATGTTTAATTCATAGTCTTCTATACATGGTGTGTAAAAGGATTTGCCTATAAGTCTATCTAACTTTAAGACAGGAAATGTATGGGTCTAGAACAGCAACATCCATTTTCCTAAGAACCTTTCTCTTCTTCTTTATCTGTAAAGGAGATCTACAGGGCAAGAGATACTATTACAACTAGGTCTCTGTTAGGAATATCTCCCTATACCAATTATGCTGTTTCCTGATCCCTAATACCAAATATGATAATATGGAAGCATTTAAAAAATGATAATTATTCACGCTTTTGGACAATACCCCAATATATAACTCCTCTTGCAACAGCAGCAGTGAAAGAAAGGGGGAACCTCCAAAAGTTCCTCCAATCAAGAATAGTGTGTGTATATATATTTATTTATTACCACACACACCCCGCTATCTCCCACATACAAAACTCCCCGTTGTGTTAATATATCATATATAGCAAAATATGGGATTACTTAAACTGATAATCCTGATAATGTGTTCTCATAAACAAAACGTAAAAGAAAAACAAATAATTAATAATTAAAAGAAAAACAGAATAGTCCTATCCATAGATATTTATAATTAAACTAAAGTTCATAATGCACCGTTGTGTACTGTGATTAATTTTAGCTGCAAAGTAATTCCCCTTGCTCCACCTCCGTGTGTTCAATCTTCAAGCCACTCACCAGATTATCCAGACCAACCTCCTCCTCTCTGTGTGCGGCATCTTAGGGTCAACATCCCATCAGTATATGTTATTGATCGCTTCCTAGTTTGGTATGCGTTTTGTATAATATCACATGAGATTATGTATATAATTATCCATTTTGGATATTCACTTATTCTTTTATGGTTATCTCAGATTTCCTCCAAGTTAGAATTCCTGAAGTGCATGAAGCATGAAACACATTGAATTGCGAACCACACCAACTACTAAAAAGAAGAAGCAATCTTAGATCCAGTCATTGAGAAACACTATGGGGTCTATTCACGAAGCTGCCGAAGGATCTAGCCGTAGCTTCGGCCGATGCTTCGGCCCCAGGACCCCTTTGGTTCAGTAGAACCGAAGGGGTGCTGTATGGGCTATTCACAATAGCCTGTACAGTTCCCGAACGTGGTCGAGCGGCTCAGTCGAGCCGAATGCATATGCATCGGCTCGGCTGAGCCGCGCTGAAAGCCGAAGTTGGCAGCTGGGTGGAGCGGCGTTGAAAGCCGAGGTGGGCCGAGCGGCCGGCCGACAGCCTGCTTCTGACAGCTGGGCGGAGCCAGCCGTGATCTTACGGCTGGCTCCGGCCACTTGCAGAGAGATCAGCGTCCCTGGTTACCTGCTAACCAGGGATACTGATTTCCAAAAAGCAAACTCTCCCTGGCGCCCCGTGGAGTCTCCTGCTCCCGGCCGCCAAGGAGAGAAACACTGTTGTTTCTTTTTTTTTCTTTAGTCTGACACGGAGCGGTCAGAATATATAAAATAAAAAAATTCCATTGGAATGCATTGCTACATTCCTATTGGCTATTTCAATTTGCAATAGCCAATAGTAAACTAGCATTGTACCCACCCTCTGCTGCAGTTGCCCGGGAGAGTTTTTTTTTCTTTTAAGGCAGCAGAGCTGTCACTGCTAGCACCGCACAATCGTTTTCGATGTACTTTTTAAAAACTTTAAAAACTATTTTTCTGTTCTGCTCGGTCCCTGTGAGGGACCGAGCAGAACAGCCAATATAGTGTGTGGTTATTCTTTTTAGTTCTTTTTTCTGGAGTATCATTTGGAGTGGTATTTGGAGGTTTATATGAATATACCTTAAGGAAAGTGTGCATGATGTTAACATGTACTAGAATACTAGAATACTCAATGACTTTGATGTAATTATTTTTGGATATGTCTCTAAGCACTTAAAAACCCCCATTTAAAACACGTGCAGACGTAGCATCAGCGGTAGAGTAGGAACGATCTGTTTGATCGGTGGTGGTGTGGTGATCGTTGAGGGGTGATCGGAGATCATGGTGCTGTCTGAGGAGTGGAGAGAATCTGCAAGGGTGGCTGTGCTGGGGGTGCTGCGATCGAGGGGTGAAGAGCAAGCAACTGAGTGGAGTGGTGAGACGGGTGGGGGATGGGTGGAAACTGTTCGGGCAAGAGGATCTATATGAGGATCTGTATGTGAGAGGGGGGGATCTGCTGCTGCTGGGCATTAGATGTGATAAGTGTGATAATCTGCTGGGAATAACTATGGTCCTGACTGCTGTACTAAGAACCACTGTACATTGGAAGTAATAGTCTGCTGAGAATTGTTGTGGTACTGACTGTATTACTGTATTCACTAATATCTGCTGAACATTGGGGGTAGTAATCTGCTGGGAATTATTGTAGTACTGACTGCACCACAGTAATAGTCTGCTGGGAATTACTGCATTACTGCCTGTGTACCAATAACTGCTGGTCATTAGGAGGAATAGTCTACTAGGAATTACTGCATTACTGCCTGTATACCAATAACTGCTGGGCATTAGGAGTAATAGTCTTCTGAGAATTACTGGGATAACTGAATTTGTTACTAACAACAGCTGTTGTTGGGAATTACTGGGGTAACTGAGTGTGCTGCTAACAACTGCTGGACAGTAGGAGTAATAGACTCCTGGGCATTACTGCGGTAATAACTGTGTACTAATAACTGCTGGGCCTAGGAGTAATAGTCTGCTGGGAATTACTGGGGTAACTGAGTGTGCTGCTAACAGCTGGAGCATTGGAAATAATAAACTGCTGGGGAAATACTGGGGTACTGACTGCCTACTGCATTATTAATAACTACTAAGCATTGGAAGTAACAATCTGCTGGGAATTAGTGTGACACTGACCACATTATTAATAACTGCTGAGAATTGGGAGTACTAATCTGCTAGGAATTACTGGTCCACTGACCGCATTATTAATAACTGCTGAGCATTGGGAGTACTAATCTGCTGGGAATTACTGGTCCACTGACCGCATTATTAATAACTGCTGAGCATTGGGAGTAACAACCAGCTGTGAATTACTGGGGGTACTGACTGGCCTAAGATAAATAATTAATAAAAAGTAGGTTAAAAAAAAAAAAAAAATTGTCTTCCATGAGTGGGTATGCAACCCGGTGTACATCCTGCTCAATGTAGGCGTTTCTTGAACATGTGTTCGAGTGTGAATACTGTTGCGCAGGATGTGAGCCAGTTGTTTGTCTGGAAGCCCAGATTCTGGATCTAAACAATAAACTGGCAACACTGCGGAACATAAACAACATGGAAAAAGTCTGGACCTGACGCATCAGGTTCTGGTGGAGGGCGGTACTGAGGAGGAGGGGGGTATGGAGGAGCAGGATCCCAAGGTTTGTAGCTGGGTTACTGTAAGAAGGTGGGGTAGAGGGAAGAGTGAGAAAGAGGCCAGCCCTGAATTGAAACACCCCGATAAATATTCCACATTGCAGGATGTTGGGGATATTAGTTCAGGGGTGCCATTGCTGGAGCAAGACGCTTCCACGATCCGCAGGGGGAGTGACTGCTCCAGTAAGGATGGGAGCAGGATGGAGGGACAGGAAAGACAGATTTTGGTGGTGGGGGGATATTATCAGACAGACAGGGTAATCTGCTATTGGGACCGTGAGCATCGAACAGTCTGTTGCTTAACGGGGGTTCGTGATCCTCCCATTGCAGAACCGGTGGACAGGTTACTGGATGGGGTTGGGCATAACCCAGCTGTCATGGTGCACATCGGCACTAATGACAAAATTGGAGGAAAATGGAGT